TAAAGTGGTAAAATGAGTGAATAAGGGTAGGAGCGGGACTGGCGCATCGCCATGGACTGTGTCCCGGGGAAAATTACCCTTGGTTTAATCATCACTCATCGATCTCAGATCTTAATGGAGTGATCTCTAATGTGTATAATAATTATGAGACATTAAATCATCTTGTAAATTGCAATGTAATTAATGATAATAACGCCAAGTTAAGAGAATGCATGAAGTGAAATAAGTCGCCTTGCTCCGAGTGAACACGCTAGACCAGTTGTTCCCCTCACGGGAAAGTGGGGGAAGTTCATGGAATCACGACTTCTAAACTGGGACAAACCAACGGATAACCTCGTCCTGCTGAATAAGAACCGTGTCGGTGTAGCAGGATATCGAAAAGAGATGGTGAATGGAGGAAATAAGGAGCATCAATCACCCACACTTAAGTAACCTTTCTAGTTATAGCAGACTGATACTGGCCAGTTAGGTATGTTTTAATTGGATAGGTTATGGGTGATCCAGCCACATCAAGTGACCACCAGAGAATATCTGGTAAGTGGTGGGATTATGTACAAGTGTTTTTTCCTTGATGGGTATATCCATGTGTAACCTACCCCCCTTCCCTCTTCATTCAGTTAAACTAATATAATCTATACAGTCCACAATTAATTAGTAGCGCCACACTTGAGGGTGCTACCCAATTTATACTGGTCTCGGATAGATATGGGTAAGATTGTGAGGGTCGAGGGGCCACCTGCAGTGACCAGAGGTGGTTAAGTTTTCTCACATGTCTACATGGGTGACTATGGTAAACAATATCGTTGTTGTCTCCCAAGGAGACAACCATGATGACATAACCATGATGACATTACACATCCCTGTCTAAGACCTACTTTTACTGGGAATCTCCCTCTCTCCTACACACCCTAACCTGAGCCTCACTATCCTCATAAAAACTCTTTACAGCATTTAGTAATTTACTACCTATTCCATGAACTTGCAACATCTGCCACATTGCTCTCCTATCCACTCTGTCATATGCCTTTTCTAAATCCATAACTGCAATGAAAATTTCCCTACCTTTATCTAAACACTATTCACATATATGCTTCAATGTAAACCCTTGATCTACACATCCCCTACCCATCCTAAATCCTCCTTGCTCATCTGCAATCCTGCTTTCTGTCTTACCTCAAATTCTTTCAGTAATAACCCTACCATACATTTTACCTGGTATACTCAGTAAACTTATTCCCCTATAATTTTTACAGTCTCTTTTGTCTCCCTTCCCTTTATAAAAGGGAATTATACACACTCTGCCAATGCCTAGATTGTTTAACATATTTATAGATGGGGTTGTAAAAGAAGTAAATGCTAGGGTATTGGGGAGAGGGGTGGGATCCAGTGGTGTTGTAAGGGTGACACCATCTAGGGGTAACACCACAGAGCCTCTAAAGAAGGTGACACTAATGCCCAAAGCAGTGCTGCAGCAACATAAGAGAAGAATCTTTTGTTTCTGTATAGCCTCTTATATGATTACAGAGTACAAATAGGCCTATATAGGGAAAATCATTGATTTTGATGATGTGATAGATGATTTTGCAGGATTGAAGGCAAGGAAATGTAAGATCAGATTCACTGAGATGTTACCTGTACTCAAGGTCAAATTGGAACTAGTGTTTCTCTGATATTGCATTGTTTTTCTTTATTTTTCAAGTTTTTTTTTTCTGCATTGTTAAAGATGAATAAATGTAGGATCTGTTGCCTGTACTCAAACTGGTATTTGAGTTTGTTTCCTCAATATTACTGTGATTATTTATTTTATAATTAATAAAATTGAGAAGTATTCTCCTGTTCAGTTTATGGCCCTTAAACGTTCTCATTGCTAAGCATTAGTTACTGGGCATGCAGTAGTGACGTAACTGGAGTTTACTCCCCTCATCCCCAACCCTTGGATTTCATGGGGGTGACACCAAAGATGCCGCCCCAGGTGACACCAACCTTAGCAACGCCACTGGTGGGATTAAATTATGGGGAATCAAATACAAAATAGGAGCTGACACAATTACTTTTTGCTGATGATACTGTGCTTTTGGGGGATTCTAAAGAAAAGTTACAAAGGTTAGTAGATGAGTTTGGGAGGGTGTGTAAATGTAGAAAGTTGAAAGTGAATATAGATAAGAGTAAGGTGATGAGGGTATCAACAATTTAAATAAAGAAAAAATTGATATGACATTGGAGGGAGGGAGTATGGAAGAAGTGAATGTTTTCAGATACAGTGGAACCCCAAATATTGGCTGTAATCCATTCCAGAAGGTCGGCCTAAATTCGATGCAATATTTCCCATAAGAATTAATGTAAATACAATTAATCCATTCCAGACACCCAAAAATAATAATAAAAAAATACATTTTTAAAGATTAATTATACACGTGTAGTTGTACATACACAAAACAATGAGAACTAAATAAAATAAATAAATGAACATTTAAATCACTATTACTTGAAGACTCTTATTGGCTTATGGAAGACAAGGAGTAGGAGAGAGAGGGAGGACTGATTATTGTTTGGAAGGGGAATCCCCCTCCAAAGGACTTCAAGTATCAAAGCCCTGTCTGGGGTTACTTCCCTCTCTGCCTGCTGCACTCCCTGAATGCCTGCTACACTCCCTGCCTCCCTTCCACACTCCCTGTTTCCCTGCTACACTCCCTGCCTCCTTACTACACTCCCTCCCTCCATGCTACAATCCCTGCCTGCCTGCTACACATCCTGCATGCCTGCTACACTCCCTGCCTCCCTTCCACACTCCCTGTTTCCCTGCTACACTCCCTCCATGCTACACTCCCTGCATGCCTGCTATACTTCCTGCCACCCTTCCACACTCCATTTCCCTGCTACACTCCCTCCCTCCATGCTACACTCCCTGCCTGCCTCCTACACTCCCTGCATGCCTGCTACAATCCCTTCATGCCTCCTACACTCCCTTCATGCCTGCTACACTCCCTGTCTGCCTGCTACACTCCCTGCCTCCCTTCACACTCCCTGTTTTCCTGCTACACTCCCTGTCTGCCTGCTACACTCCGTCTGCCTGCTACACTCCCTGCATGCCTGCTACACTCCCTGCCTCCTTGTTACACTCCCTGCCTCCTTGCTAAATTCCCTATTAGAACATTAGCTTCCTTGATTTCTACTTTCTTTGTCAGGATGGAAGTGATTGTTGATTTGGATTTCCCATACATCCTGGCAAGTTCTAGCACTTGAACACCACTCTCATATTTTTCCATAACTTCTTTCTTAAATTCCATCGTGTTTCTCACTTTTTTTACGAAAGGGCTGGCACTCTGATCTTTCTTTGGGCCCATGGTGGCTTATTTCACAGCCACACAAAAGCAAGAAGCACAAAAACTAATGGATTTTACGGAAATGTTTAGATGAATGCTTGGAGTATATGCTCATTCTCCAAGAGACACAGGGAGACTGACTCACCTACATGCGACGTTTCGGCGGGAGGTGGGCTGACGCGCGTTGATACGGATGATTTACATGGCACTGGCTGAAATACAGAGCAAAATTTCCACCCAACAACCTGCCTAAATACGAATCGGACGATAAACGCAGCAGCCTACTTTAAGCAAACTTCTTTAAGCAAATCACAAGATTATATTCCCATAATATAATTTGAAACTATTGTCCATTGTCGACAGGAATGTAATTGAATCATGTTTCATAAAAACCAGTTTTGAAACTATGAATACTGTACATGTATTTCCTTTGGTTTATATAAATTAGATTCATTTAAAATTAATAGAACTATTGTACAACTTAAGCTATGATAATTTTCTTTAGTACGTATTAAGTAGTCAGTAAGCCATTAAGTTAAGTCAGCCCATAATGCCATGGCATCATAGAGGCTCTCTTTGCACTGCAACTCATTATTGTAAATACATAATCTCAATGTACTACACTCGCAAAGAAATAAAATTTGGCTTTGACTTTGGCCGATATTCGGGGTTCCACTGTATTTGGGAATTGACCTGTAAGCAGGTGGGTTTATGAAGGATGAGGCTTACCATAGAACTGTCTTTCAAGAGGCATGCAAATGTGACAGTTCAGACATTACTCCCAACAGCAAATATTCCAAACCCGTCCTGTAAAGTGCAGGAACTGTACTTTTCACCTCCAGGACTCAAGTCCAGCTAACCGGTATTCCTGAATCCCTTCACAAAACATTACCCTGCTCACACTCCAATATATACATACTGTGTTTGGCCAGAAATATAACTGAGGAGTGAGTTTATCATCACTATCCATCACATTGATAGGTCATGGAAGTATAACTGTATCATGTATGTGTACTAGAAGCATGTGAGTGTACCATTTGGGTATATTCTAGGTACTATATTGTTAGCAAACTCTAGTGAATTACATAAATCTTCTTCTTTCAACGTACCAGCCGTATCCCACCGAGGCAGGGTGGCCCAAAAGAAAAAACTAAAGTTTCTCCTTTTAAATTTAGTAATATATACAGGAGAAGGGGTTACTAGCCCCTTGCTCCCGGCATTTTAGTCGCCTCTTACGACACGCATGGCTTACAGAGGAAGAATTCTGTTCCACTTCCCCGTGGAGATAAGAGGAAATAAACAAGAACAAGAATTAGAAAGAAAATAGAAGAAAACCCAGAGGGGTGTGTATATATATGCTTGTACATGTATGTGTAGTGTGACCTAAGTGTAAGTAGAAGTAGCAAGACTTACCTGTAATCTTGCATATTTATGAGACAGACAAAAGACACCAGCAATCCTACCATCATGTAAAACAATTACAGGCTTTCGTTTTACACTCACTTGGCAGGACGGTAGTACCTCCCTGGGCAGTTGCTGTCTACCAACCTACTACCTAGAAATTACATAAATATTCTGTTAAAATATCTCTGGTGGGCCATTGAAATATAGTGTTAGAAAACTCTAACAACAGCTGGTGTATCATCTATACTAGGTATATTGTTAACAACAGCTAGAGTACTGTTTATGGTAGGTATATTGTTAACAAAATCTAGTGTACCATCTAGGTAAACTTTTAAATAAAGCCATTGTACTATCTCGGTTTAGTGTTAGAAAACTCTTCTGTATCATAAAATATAGTGTACCATGTAGGTTTAATGCTAACAAGCTCAAGTGTACCATGTCAATGCAGTGTGTACCTTCCCTGGCAGGCACGAGAAGAATACCGTCATCTAAAACAGCAACGCAAAGCGGAATGGGCAGCAACAGTCATCAAGATGGCTTATATCAACTTCCAGGTACTGTATCATGCCCGGGCACCTGTACCCTCATTGAACCATGCTCAGGCACCCGTACCTTCACTGTACTATGCCCAGGCATATGTACCTTCACTGTACTATGCCCAGGCACCTGTTCCTTCACTGTACTATGCCCAGGTACCTGTACCTTCACTGTACTATGCTCAGGCACCTATACCTTCACTGTACCATGCTCAGGCACCTATACCTTCACTACTATGCCCAGACATCTGTACCTTCACTGTACTATGCCCAGGCACCTGTACCTTCACTGACTATGCCAGGCACCTGCCTTTACTGTCCCTATGCTCAGGCACTTGTAACTTCACTGTACCATGCTCATGCACCTGTACCTTCATTGAACCATGCTCCAGGCACCTGTACCTTCACTGTACTATACCCAGGCATCTGTACCTTACTGTACTATGCCCAGGCACCTGTACCTTCACTAATACCCAGGCACCTGTTACCTTCGTGTACCTATGCCCAGGCACCTGTTCCTTCACTGTACTATGCCCAGGCCCCTGTCCCTTTTCAAAGTACTATGCCAGGCACCTGTATCTTCACTGTCCCATGCCCAGGCAACCTGTTTCCTTCACTTGAAATTTCATGTACCCCAGCACCTGTACCTTCACTGTACTATCCCAGGCACCTGTACCTTCACTGTACTATGCCCAGGCACTGTTACCTTACTGTACTATGCCCAGGCACCTGTACCTTCACTGTACATATCCAGGCACCTGTACCTTCGCTGTACCATGCCCAGGCCCCTTGTACCTTCACTGTACTATGCCCAGGCACCTGTTCCTTAAACTGTACTATGCCCAGGCCCCTGTATTTCCTTTACTGGTTCCAATGCCCAGGCACCTGTACCTTCACTGTACTATGCCCAGGCACCTGTACCTTCACTGTACTATGCCCAGGCACCTGTACCTTCACTGTACTATGCCCAGGCACCTGTACCTTCACTGTCCCTATGCCCAGGCACCTGTACCTTTACTGTACCATGCTCAGGCACTTGTACCTTCACTGTACTATGCCCAGGCACCTGTACCTTCACTGCACTATGCCCAGGCACCTGTACCTTCACTGTACCATGCTCAGGCACCTGTACCTTCACTACTATGCCCAGGCATCTGTACCTTACTGTACTATGCCCAGGCACCTTTACCTTCACTGTACTTTGCCCAGGCACCTGTACCTTCACTGTACTATGCCCAGGCACCTGTACCTTCACTGTACTATGCCCAGGCACCTGTACCTTCACTGCACTATGCCCAGGCACCTGTACATTCACTGCACTATGCCCAGGCACCAGTACCTTCACTGTACCATGCTCAGGCACCTGTACCTTCACTGTACCATGCTCAGGCACCTGTACCTTCACTACTATGCCCAGGCATCTGTACCTTACTGTACTATGCCCAGGCACCTTTACCTTCACTATACTATGCCCAGGCACCTGTACCTTAACTATTATGCCCAGGCATCTGTCCCTTTAAACTGTATATGCCCAGGCACCTGTACCTTCACTGTACTATGCCCAGGCACCTGTTCCTTCAATGTACTATGCCCTGGCACCTGTACGTATACTGTACATACCCAGGCACCTGTTCCTTCACTGTACTATGCCCAGGCACCTGTACCTTCACTGTACTATGCCCAGGCACCTTTACCTTCACTGTACTATGCCCAGGCACCTGTACCTTACTGTACTATGCCCAGGCACCTGTACCTTAACTGTATTATGCCCAGGCACCTGTACCTTCACTGTACATACCCAGGCACCTGTTCCTTCGCTGTACTATGCCCAGGCACTGTAACTTCACTGTACCATGCCCAGGCACCTGTTCCTTCACTGTACTATCCCCCAGGCACCTGTACCTTACTGTACTATGCCCAGGCAACCTGTCCTTCACTGTACTATGCCCAGGCACCTGTACCTTCACTGTACTATGCCCAGGCACCTGTACCTTCACTGTCTATCCCCAGGCACCGTACCTTCACTGTACCTATGCCCAGGCACCTGTACCTTCACTGTACTATGCCCAGGCACTGTAACCTTCACTGTACCATGCTCAGGCACCTGTACCTTCACTGTACTATGCCCAGGCACCTGTACCTTCACTGTACTATGCCCAGGCACCTGTACATTCACTGTTCTATGCCCAGGCACCAGTACCTTCACTGTACCATGCTCAGGCACCTGTACCTTCACTGTACTATGCCCAGGCACCCAGGACCGTTCCCTGTACTATGCCAGGTACCTGTACCTTCACTGTACTATGCCAGGCATATTACCTTCACTGTACTATCCCTCAGGCACCTATCCTTCACTTACTATGCCCAGACCTGTACCTTCACTGTACTATGCCTCAGGCACCTTTCCATGACTATCCTGGCACCTGCATTCACCATGCTCAGGCACCTATACCTTCACTACTATGCCCAGACATCTGTACCTTCACTGTACTATGCCCAGGCACCTGTACCTTCACTGAGCTATACCTAGGCACCTGCACTTTCACTGTACTATGCTCAGGCACCTGTACCTTCACTATACTATGCCCAGGCACCTGTACCTTCACTGTACCATGCCCAGGCACCTGTATCCTTCACTGTACTATGCCCAGGCACCTGTACCTTCACTGTACTATGCCCAGGCACCTGTACCTTCACTGTACTATGCCCAGGCATCTGTACCTTTACTGTACCATGCTCAGGCACTTGTAACTTCACTGTACTATGCTCATGCACCTGTACCTTCACTGTACTATGCCCAGGCACCTGTACCTTCACTGTACTATGCCCAGGCACCTGTACCTTCACTGTACCATGCCCAGGCATCTGTACCTTTACTGTACCATGCTCAGGCACTTGTAACTTCACTGTCCCTATCCCTCAGCATCTGTACCTTCACTGTACTATCCCCAGGCACCTGTACCTTCACTGTACTATACCCAGACATCTGTACCTTACTGTACTATGCCCAGGCACCTGTACCTTCACTGTACATACCCAGGCACCTGTTCCTTCGCTGTACCATGCCCAGGCACCTGTACCATCACTGTACTATGCCCAGGCACCTGTTCCTTCAAAGTACTATGCCCAGGCACCTGTATGTTCACTGTACATACCCAGGCACCTGTTCCTTCACTGTACTATGCCCAGGCACCTGTACCTTCACTGTACTATGCCCAGGCACCTGTTCCTTCACTGTACTATGCCCAGGCACCTGTACCTTCACTGTACTATGCCCAGGCACCTGTACCTTTACTGTACCATGCTCAGGCACTTGTACCTTCACTGTACTATGCCCAGGCACCTGTACCTTCACTGTACTATGCCAGGCATTTGTACCTTTACTGTCCCTATGCTCAGGCACCTGTACCTTCACTGTACTATGCCCAGGCACCTGTACCTTCACTGTACTATGCCCAGGCACCTGTACCTTCACTGTACTATGCCCAGGCACCTGTACCTTCACTGTACTATGCCCAGGCACCTGTACCTTCACTGCACTATGCCCAGGCACCTGTACCTTCACTGTCCCTATGCCAGGCACCTTACACTATGACTGTACCATGCTCAGGCACTTACCTTCACTGTACTTGCCCAGGCACCTGTACCTTCACTGTAACATGCCCAGGCACCTGTACCTTTACTGTACATTGCTCAGGCACCTGTACCTTCACTGTACTTTGCCCAGGCACCTGTACCTTCACTGTACTATACCCAGGCATCTGTACCTTACTGTACTATGCCCAGGCACCTTTACCTTCACTATACTATGCCCAGGCACCTGTACCTTAACTGTATTATGCCCAGGCACCTGTACCTTAACTGTATTATGCCCAGGCACCTGTACCTTCACTGTACATGCCCAGGCACTGTCCCTTTTTAACTGTACTTATTATCCCCAGGCACCTTTACCTTCAATGTACTATGCCCAGGCACCTGTACCTTTACTGTAATTACCCAGGCACCTGTACCTTAACTGTATTATGCCCAGGCACCTGTACCTTCACTGTACATACCCAGGCACCTGTTCCTTCGCTGTACTATGCCCAGGCACCTGTACCTTCACTGTACTATGCCCAGGCACCTGTTCCTTCAATGTACTATGCCCAGGCACCTGTACCTTCACTGTACCATGCCCAGGCACCTGTACCTTCACTGTACTATGCCCAGGCACTTGTAACTTCACTGTACCTATGCCCAGCACCTGTCCTTCACTGTACTATGCCCAGGCACCTGTACCTTCACTGTAATTGCCCAGGCACCTGTACCTTCACTGTACTATGCCCGGGCACCTGTACCTTCACTGTCCATCCCAGGCACCGTACCTTCACTGTACCATGCCCAGGCACTTGTAACTTCAACTGTACCATGTCTATGCCAACCTTTACCTTCACTGTACTATCCCAGGCACCTGTACCTTCACTGTACTATGCCCAGCGCACACCTGTACCTTCACTGTACTATGCCCAGGCACCTGTACCTTCACTGTACCATGCCCAGGCATCTGTACCTTCACTGTACTATGCCCAGCACCTGTACCTTCACTGTACCATGCTCAGGCACCTGTACCTTCACTGTACCATGCCCAGGCATCTGTACCTTACTGTCCCTATGCCCAGGCACCCTTTACCGTTCACTGTACTTGCCCAGGCACCTGTACCTTCACTGTACCTATGCCTAGGCTCCCTGTACCTTCCTTTAGGCCCCACCTGTACCTTCACTGTACCAAATGCCCAGGCATCTGTACCTTCACTGTACCATGCCCAGGCATCTGTACCTTCACTGTACTATGCCCAGCACCTGTACCTTCACTGTACCATGCTCAGGCACCTGTACCTTCACTGTACTATGCCCAGGCACCTGTACCTTCACTGCACTATGCCCAGGCACCTGTACCTTCGCTGTACCATGTTCAGGCACCTGTACCTTCACTGTACTATGCCCAGGCACCTGTACCTTCACTGTACTATGCCCAGGCACCTGTACCTTCACTGTACCATGCCCAGGCATCTGTACCTTTACTGTACCATGCTCAGGCACTTGTAACTTCACTGTACCATGCTCATGCACCTGTACCTTCACTGTACTATCCCCAGGCACCTGTACCTTCACTGTACTATACTCAGGCACCTGTACCTTCACTGTACTATGCCTAGGCACCTGTACCTTCACTGTACTATGCCTAGGCACCTGTATCCTTCACTGTACTATGCCCAGGCACCTGTACCTTCTCTGCACTATGCCCAGGCACCTGTACCTTCACTGCACTATGCCCAGGCACCTGTACCTTCACTGTACCATGCTCAGGCACCTGTACCTTCACTGTACTATGCCCAGGCACCTGTACCTTCACTGTATTATGCCCAGGCACCTGTACCTTCACTGTACATACCCAGCCGTCTGTTCCTCCACTGTACCATGCCCTAGGCACCTGTTCCTTCACTGTACTATGCCCAGGCACCTGTACCTTCACTGTACTATGCCCAGGCACCTGTACCTTCACTGTATTATGCCCAGGCACCTGTACCTTCACTGTACATACCCAGGCATCTGTTCCTCCACTGTACCATGCCCAGGCACCTGTTCCTTCACTGTACTATGCCCAGGCACCTGTACCTTCACTGTACTGAATGACCAGGACATTAACCAAGAGGCCAGGCTTAAGACTGAGCCATTCAGCTGATGACGTCTGAAACACTTTATCAATGTTAAAAGAAACATTATTATATTCATTTACCATCATCATCATCTTTATCATTGTCACAGTCATCATATTTATTGTTTGTCGTCTATTGTAGTTATCATCTTGAACATCGTTATTACCCCATTATTATTAGTGTGAATTAAGACGCATTTTCGACACTTGTGTTTCTTTATTTCTAAAATGTTTGACCTGCACGACAAGCTTCTTTAGTCAAATAACAGAGTACAGTGGACCCCCGCATAACGATCACCTCCGAATGCGACCAATTATGTAAGTGTATTTATGTAAGTGCGTTTGTACGTGTATGTTTGGGGGTCTGAAATGGACTAATCTACTTCACAATATTCCTTATGGGAACAAATTCGGTCAGTACTGGCACCTGAACATACTTCTGGAGTGAAAAAATATCGTTAACCGGGGGTCCACTGTATAATGCTGGGAGAAGTAGTAGTAGTTTTAACATAATCATCTCATCACCATCAAGGATGATTATATCAAAGCTGCTATTACTGCTTCCATCATTATACTCATCTGTTTTTGACTGAAGAAGTCAGTTGTGCAGGTGAACTATTTTGGTAATAAAGATACCCAAGTGTTGCAAATATTTCTTGTTCATTAATTTATCTGTATTGTGTACTATCAGTAAATATCACCTGTGTCAACATCAGCATTATTCATCAAATATTAATTTCTGTTTCAACTAATTGCTCCATCTGTCCCTGCCATGGAATTGCCACTATCACCACAGCGTTGGAGATTTCTGATGTCTGTGTTAGAGGAACTACCCAATGACTCCCCTGTAGAAGGAAGTTGGCCTCCAGCTCCTGCCTCCCTGGCTGAAGTTAGCTCTCTTCTGCGACACCTTCATCACAAATGGAGGGTAAGTATGTCAGAGATGGTGAGGCTGTTGGTGATGGATGTGTTGGTGATGGTAATAGTTGTGGTGGTGATGGGTGTGTTGGTGTTGGAGATGGGTTTGTTGGTGTTGGTGGAGGATATGTCGTTGATGTTGATCTTCTCTCAGTGTCACAGATATCGTCTTCAATTCGACCAAACAGCAAGGAACAGGATGAGAGAGAAAGTCACAGCATCCATCATCTTCAAGGACAGAAAAGCATCATATGTCAAGAGGTAAACAACTTGCACTTCATCCTATTCTTGTTGCTTCCTCCTTCCCCTCCTCCTCTTCCTCTTTTACCGCTGCCACCACCACCACCGAAACTACCACCACCGCCACTACCACCACCACCCTCCTTTTAATCCCCCCTCTTCATCTTCATCCTCCTCCTCTTCCTTGTTCTCTTCCTTCTCCTCTTCATCCTTATCTTCATACTCTTTATCCTCCTCTTCCTCCACTTCCTTCATATCATTCCTCATAGATGTACAGCTAACTAATTTTAAGTACTTTGTACATATAGCCATGTACTATATAATATGTTTAGTAGTAACTAAGTTTAAGTAGACTTAATATTCTTTCATGGAGCAGAAAGCAAAAAATATTAAACATTTAAATGTACTCATCATCTCTCCTCTTCTCTGACCAGTGCTGATAACAAGACCACATAACACAGCACCAAACAAAACAATATAACATAGTACCACCATAACACAGCACAACAGTATAATGACACCACCATAACACTGGAACTTTCTCAATGTAGCAACACTTTAAAGGACCACCACTTCATGTATTACCTGTTGACTTGCTCTCTCAGTGTGTCTCATCCGTTCTTGGGAGACTATGTGAGACTACGTCAGAATGCTCAGTGGAAGAAGCTAGCAGCAGAGACCAACGACCAGTATGTTGTCTTCGCTGATATTGTCAATAAAATCACACGTTCAGCTGGCAAGGTAAGAAGAAGATTGTAAATCGAGAGGTTTAGTAACCCAGGATAAGCCATTATAGTCCGTCTTGCTGCTAGATGAACAGGATCATCAGGTGTAAGGAAACATGCCCATGTATCTACTCATCTTGGGTTCAAACTTGGGTCTTTCATTTTTAAGCCAAATTAGTTCCTACTTGAGCCACAAGATGATATGTTATGTAAGTCAGGTTAAGGAGCTCTTAAGGTATCAGACACTGGTGTACCAGAGCTAGGTTTTCAACCTCCAACTAAACTACAAATGATCAAGGTAGAATATCCTATGTTAGGTTAGTGTCCTAGAATATATTTTTTATTACTCCATCTCCATACTCTCCAAAATATGTAAAAGAATCTGAGTGAAATGTTGGTTGGCAGTTTGTGCCGATCCTGCTGGCGGTGTCGACCAACTCACTGCTGGTACTGGATCAACGTACTCTGCAGGTGAAGTACCGCATCCCAGCTGTAGAAATCCAGCGCATCTCCCTCTCACCGTACCTGGGTAAGTTGCACAGTTCCTGTACCTGGGTTCACACAGCAGTATTCAGAAGGAGAATCAGTGGTAGAGACATCACTGTGGCTGGCAACATGAGTAGTTGCAGCAGCACAGCTCATAATGCATTTGCAGTTGTAGCAGCCAATACCTCCCATCCATTTTTATCTTTACTATCAAATATCCTTGTTCATTTTATGAATATGTTATTCCTTCTCTGCAGGAAATAGAAAGTAGGAATGAGAGATTTCTGCTTTACTTTCCTTGCCTTGATCAGTTAAATAATAGATAGTCCTTCACTGAGATTGTAGTAGTGAGTAGCAGTAGATAGTCCTCTGCAGATAGTCTCAATGTGGGATACATCCTCTGCAGATAGTATCAGTGTGGAATACATCCTCTGCAGATAGTCTCAGTGTGGAATACAAAGTTTTTCTGCCATGTATTCTTCTATAGCTTCCATATTTGTAGCTTTCTGTGTCCTTGTTTGCTTTTGACGTTTTTTTTTATTAGTGAGATATTTGCTACACATTTTTTGTTGGAGGGAAGGGGTAAAGGAGGCTTTGTGTGCGAGGGGCTTGGACTTTCAGCAAGCATGCGTGAGCGTGTTAGATAGGAGTGAATAGAGACAAATGGTTTTTAGGACTTGACGTGCTGTTGGAATGTGAGCAAGGTAATATTTATGAAGGGATTTCAGAGAAACTGGCTGGCTGGACTTGAGTCCTCGAGACAAAGTACAGTGCCTGCACTCTGAAGGAAGGGTGTTAATGTTGCAGTTTTATAACTGCAGTGTAAGAGCACCTCTGGCAAGAAAGTGATGAAGTGAATGATGGTGAAAGTTTTTCTTTTTCAGCCCACCCTGCCTTGGTGGGAAACAGCTGATGTGTTAATAAAAATAAAATAAATAAAAAATTTTGTTGATATTATTTCTATGATGGTTATTGGCTTCTTTAAATTTCATTTTTCTCTGAACAGCTTTACTTTATCATTTATATTATTTTGTTTCTTTCATGATATTTTATAACTTTTCTATCCATGTTCTTCATAATGGGCTTTTGTTACTTATTTACCATATGTGCTTCTTATGTTTTAAGATTATATCTTATGGCTTTGGGAATGAAGCATAAAAATTGGAAAAATAAAAGCTGGAAAAATTTGCAACTCACCCAAAAATTGGAGGTAAATCTTTATAAGGCATTTCAATGAGTTTCAGACCATTGTTAATGATAGCTGAGAATGGAACAAAACATTCTCTAAATGTCTATATCCAATTTGTGGGATAGTTTTGAGAAAGAATATAAGAATAGAGGACCACTACAGTACGTATGTCAAACTGCTAATTCTAGACAGGTCCTTCTCACACTTACCCACTCTTACTCATTTATTTATTGAACCTGTTTTTTTGGTGAATAAACCATAATGTCACTCATTTTTCATGTACATTTTGTGAGTTAGTTGTGATGTGCTGTGTATGCATGACTGAGGTGTAAGGTTTTGCAGACGACATCGCTGTGTTGCATCTCAAGCCGCCTTCACCCACCGCTGACATCTCTGGCTCCCAGAACCTCAACCCCGGCTGTCTCTTTGGCTCAGATGAAGTCAAGCGGAAGGGTGACCTGGTGCTACAGACGGGTCACGTGATCGAAGTAGTGACCAAGCTCTTCCTGGTGGTGCAAAATGCAACAGGAAAGCCCCCAGATGTCAACATATCTACTGAGTGAGTCAGTCTCTTTGATTGTAAGATGTCTGTGTAGAAGTTTCTTTCTTTGTAAGATGTTTGTCTGTCTGTATATGTAAGTTACATATTTAGATATCCATGTTTGTAAGATGTCTAAATGTTTGTTTGTTTACCCCTCTGTTTGTCTTAGAGGTTAGCAAATTCTACTTTCAGACAATTATACATATTATTAACATGTATAACAAATTAGAGCACAGCATGGAACTGAGAGCTGGCATTCACTTTAATTAGTGTTTTTAAAATACTTCTTAAAAATATATTTAGAATCTTAAATATATTTTCTCTCTCTGCACATTAATAACTGATAAAGAATTTAGCACCAATGATCATGTCTTAATATTTTCCTAAAATATAAATCTAAAATTCCTAAATATTATGAAAATTTACACATGCCTAACTTCGCCAAACCAAATTTTCAAAATGAAGATTTTCATTATCAGAGTTTATTAGTCATTTGTTACATCAGGTAAATATATATCTAAGTGAGGGCTTCGGCATTTTTTGAATGACTAAACTAAGTGGCTAATAGGTAAAGATAAATTTAAGACAGGTAGGGCTAGAGTATGGTTCGGTTACCATATAAATGAGTCGCTTTCTAAATAGACATGTTCAACCAAGGGCAATGACAACTATTCTTGTGAAAATATACATTAGACCCCCGGTTTTCGTAATTTGTTCCAGAAGGTTGGCCGAAATCCAAAATGGCCGAAAACTGAAGTAATGTTTCCCATAAGAAATAATGTGAATCCAATTAATCCATTTCAGACACCCAAAAATATTAACCAAAAATACATTTTATAGAGAATAATTATAGTTTTACATACAGATGACAATGAGAAATAAATATAAATGACTAATTTTAATGATAAATGAACATTACATATCTTTAATGATGACTCTTGTTGGTGAGTAGTATTTATTTGTAGTCCCAGACAGACTGCATCCCAGTGTATACCTACCGGCTACATACACTGTGGCCTACAGCCTTATTATTACCATCGACATACCATGTTCACTGAGTTTAATCGTTTCTAACAACTACCTTTAGATGTCATCATAAACAAAGGAGAAGTAATGAATAATTCATGCCGAGGTTGTAAACAAAAGTTTAGGTGAAAAGGGCAGTTACTGGGCCAATGCAGATTCATACAGTTGTCTCTAACACTGGACCAGAGAAAACGTAGTGTTTACCCTCCACTGCATATAAACATTATGTACTTGTTTATATGCTATGTAACGTGTTTCTTACATAATTTTGAAGAAAATATCATAGATGGATTAATGAAAATGTCTATATTAATGTAAAATATGACATTCATTTTGCCCAAGAGTGATTATTATTACGTACTATTAGTATTATTGTGATGTTAAGACTTGAGGGACACTCTGAGTGAACGCATAACAAAGGCATGTTTATATGCTATGTAATGTGTTTCTTACATAATTTTGAAGAAAATATCATAGGTGGATTAATGAAAATGTCTATATTAACCTAAAATAAGACATTTAATGTGCCCAAGAATGAGTCATGAACGTATGAGCAGCCCAGGTGCACGCGTCTGGTATCAACGATTTCCGAGGGGATGTACGAAACCCGGGTGGAAATTTCATCAAAAAAAGTGCTCAAAATCCAAATTGTACGATTTCCACACAGGCCGAAAACTGGGGGTCCATGTATTATGGAACCTCTGTTCTCACCATCAGAAGATGTCCGGAAAATATAGAAATGGCAAATAAAATGAGTAAAATGCAAAATAATGATAATAGATTCATTTCTTGAAATGTTGTCACAAACAGTGGTTGCCTTTAACCATTTGTTTATCACAGGACTTGCTCTCTAGGTATAGAATCACTTGCTGATGTAACTAAATAGTTTTTGTGAGTTGTCAGCACTGCCAGAAACGGTTTGCGAGCACATTAACATGTTACATCTTCTTCCTTCAGGTTCCAATCTAACTTTGGGCAGCATTCAGTATTATTTACCTTCAAAACTGCTGGTCTGGCTGAAGTGGCTCCAGGACAGATTCGCATCATGAGAAGACACAACCGCATGGAAGTGATCTTGTAGGATTTATCAAGCCAGGAAGTGATCTTGAAGGACTTTTCAAGCCAGGAAGTGATTTTAAAGGACTTCTCAAGCCTAGAAGTAGTCTTGAAGGACTTCTCAAGCCTGGAAGTTATGTTGAAGTTATTCTCAAGCCTGGAAATGATCTTGAAGGCCTTCTCAAGCCTGGAAGTTATGTTGAAGGACTTCTCAAGCCTGGAAGTAATCTTGAAGGACTTCTCAAGCCTGGAAGTTATGTTGAAGTTCTTCTCAAGCCTGGAGGTGATCTTGAAGGACTTCTCAAGCCTGGAAGTCATGTTGAAGGATTTCTCAAGTCTGGAAGTGGTCTGGCAGTGCCTCTTAAAAACTGGATATTATCCTATATGGCCTCTATTGCATGACTGTTATTTTAGGACCTCCCAAGTCTGGAAATGATCTTAAATGTTCTCTCAGGACAGTAACTAGTCTTGCTTAGCTTTGGAGATGATCTTTCATGGTTTTCCAAGCCCTGGATTTTATTATGTAAGGCTTCTTAAAGCTGGGTGTAGTCTTTTTCAAAATCTCAATCCTGGCAGTTGTCTTGACAACCTTCTGAATACTGGAGATGACTTTATAGGAACTTTGAAGCTCGAACAAAGTGTTATTAGGCTTCCCAAGTATGGCACTACTTGTTTGAACTTCAAGCATTGAGATAATCTTGTAATTCTATTCAAATGTTGAGGTAGTCTTAGAGGCACTTAAGCCTGGATATGGTCTTGAGGGGCTTTCAGACGAGTTAAGCCTAAAGGTGGTCTTGTATTTATTCTGTTCTCAAGGTTACCTTGCATGGACACTCAGTTCTGGAGGTGATAATTTAGGACATCTAAAGCTGAGGGAATAGACTTGCAGGAACTCACAACCCTGGAATTAGTCTTGTAAATTCTCCAAAGATTTGATGTGACTTTGAAGGGCCTCTAAAACCTGCAGATAGTCTGTAAGGCCTCTCAGGTCCACATTTTTTTTTTTTTTTTTTCAATTTAAATTTTGAAAGTACTCTTGAAGGGCCTGTCAGTCAAAGTAGCTTTGTAGGACCTCTTAGACATGGAAGTGGTACCCTAGAGTATCTCAGTCCCTCATTCCTGGAGATCATTTTTCAACACCTCTTAATCCCTTATTGCCTTAGTGGAAATATCAAGCTTGGAGCTGGTTTCATAAGTCCATTCAGACATGAAAGTGACTCGTATAGGATTTCTCAAGCCCAAGAAGTGGTTATAGAGGTGGTTTTCCAGGACCTCTTAAAACTGGAAATCTTAGATGGACTTTTTTGGATTGTTGTTCATCTAAATAGTTGTTTAAAGCATGGAGGTAGTCTAGTGCTTAATTTGTTGAGCCTTAAAAAGCTCAAAGAAGTCTTCAAGAACCTGTCTAGACCTTAAGTCATCATACAGAGGCTTCCAAGAATGAAAGTTGTATTATATTGCCTCTCAGACCTGTTAGCAATCTCCTAGAAACTTCTGTGCCTGGAGGTCATTTTATACTCTCAAGCCTTTAAGTAGCCTGAAGGTTGTCTTGAAGATACTGCTAGCTTGGAGATCTTGTTTATCATCTCAAACCTTGAGGCATTCTTATAGGACCTTTCAGTCTTGGAGGGTGTTTTGCAGGAGCTCTGAAGCCTGAAAGTGTCTATCCTCGTGAGGTTATTGCCCCTTTGCACTCAAGATCACACTGGAGGTTCTTACAAGATTTTAAAGTTACATTGGAGGTCCTTTTATGTGTAGAGGTAACACCAGAGAATCTTACAAGAATGACAGCATATACTGGAGATCCTTAAAACCTTGGGATTCATACTGAATGTCCAGAAACCATAGAGGTCATACTAAGGATCTTAAAAGCAAAGAAGTCACACTGATAACCATAGAATCCTGAGAGTCACACTGGGGTTGCTTACAGGCAAGACTTTTGCCTGCAGGTGGGAAGAGGGTGCTATTTCTTGAGAACAAGTGCTGGGTGTTTTTTTCTCTTGGTCTTCTGTGGGTCAGATTGATGTTTCAGGTAGTTCTACAAGGAGTGCAAAAGTGAACCTGTCAAAGACTACAAATATATGATTTATTGTAGAGAACATGCTGAGTTCTTGAAGAGTCTTAAGAGATGCTGCAACAAAGACAGTGATATGTATAATGGCTGCTGCAACAAGGATAATAAGAGAGTATATGTAGTGGATGCTGTAGCAAGCACAGTAATATGTGCAGTTTCTGCTATAGCAAGGAGCTATACAGTGACTGCTACAGCAAGGACAGTGGTTGAAACCAAAAGCAACTCTTGTTGTGATTGAACTATGAAGCTGAATGTGATTACCAATGAAACAATAGTGTGTTGGCTAAACAATGATGCAATATGTACAGTGAATGAACACTAAACAGAAACAGTTTCCAAAGACAAGTGTTTAGAAAAAAAGCTTGAGAAATGAAAGATACAGAGATGATGCAGAAGCAATAACCAAGAGTTTGCAGTGAAAATGTGAAAAATTACAAAATGGTGACTGTAAACTGTCTTTAAAGCAAAAATATATATATATATAAATAAATAAAACGGGTTTTTAATCTTTGTACACTTAGCTATTATAAGGATACAAATAATAATAATTATGATACTAATAATAATATTAATAATTAAAAATGTACCTTTTTTACTAGTACATCCGATTAGAAACATTGGTCATGTTGAAATGAGAAATCAGAATATGAAAAGTGAAGCAGAGTTGTGACTGATCCAACACCAAGGACTACACAGCTAACGGTCATATTCTTCACTCTCTTACTCTCCTGACTACACAGATCCCTCACTAAACCAGTATCTTTCTATACCACTATGCCACTTTCCTTCACTCTCCCTCACTATACTGAACTTTCCATCACTCTCCCACTCCCTCGCTATATAAAACTCCTTCTCAACATGTGAATATTTTTGTCATACTCACAATTAAGTCTTGCATCACATCACAGGCATTATTGTTTGTCTGTGTCTTATTGTATGAATTTATATGTAAGAATGTCCAATGCTGGGTGGAAGTTATGATGTAAATATGCATGCTTATTCAGAATATATAATTTTTTTTTAAATGGGTTGCAAATAATGGGGATATTAATAATTAAAAATAATAATAAAAATAATATTGATGTGAATAATAAGAATATAACTGTTAATATTCACCAAGGACAAAACACAAATGCATTTAGTAACTCGCTACAAGAACACAAAACTGCAGTGAAAAACTGAAGACATTTTTAGTCCATCTCGAAGCAATACAAAGTTGAGTGAACAGGAAAAAGGCGAGAAAGTTTTTATCTCCAATTTTTCTGTTAGATGGTAATTGTTTCAGTCTTGGAAATGTGCAGTATATTCTATAGTCCTTAGTTTTAGCTAATGTCTTCTGGTAAAATCTTGTCTGTGATCCTAACAAGTTGAGGTTAACCCTTTAGTATTCCAAGACCCCATTAGGGAACCATATCTTTAAGGTTCCAGAGCCCAGTCAGGATGCATGAAATTTTTGACATTGCCCATAACCAATAGGGAAACTCTTCATCCTCAGTTAACCATCAGAGTGGTCTAACTCCTTCCCAAGGGAAGTGAGAGAGTCGAGATGTGAAGCAGTGTAGTTTAAGACTTGGGGAGAGAGAGGTTCCCAGTTGCTTGTAAGCAACAATAATGACATATGAATGAAATGATAGAAGGGATAGACTCAGAAGTGTCCCTGTTCGCAGATGATGTGAAGTTAATGAGGAGAATTAAATCAGATGAGGATCAGGCAAGACTACAAAGAGACCTGGACAGGCTGGACACGTGGTCCAGCAATTGGCTTCTTGAATTTAGCCCTGCCAAATGCAAACTCATAAAGATTGGGCAAGGGCAAAGAAGAACGCAGACAGAGTATAGGCTAGGAGCCAAAGAGTGCAAACCTCGCTCAAGGAGAAAGATCTTGGGGTGAGTATAACACCAAGCACGTCTCCGGAAGCACACATCAATCAGATAACTGCTGCAGCATATGGGCGCCTGGCAAACCTGAGAATAGCATTCCGGTACCTTAGTAAGGAATTGTTCAAGACTCTGTACACCGTGTACGTCAGGCCCATATTGGAGTATGCAGCACCAGTTAGGAACCCACACCTGGTCAAGCATGTCAAGAAATTAGAGGAAGTGCAAAGGTTTGCAACAAGGCTAGTTCCAGAGCTAAGGGGAGTGGCCTACGAAGAAAGGTTAAGGGAAATCAGCCTGACAACACTGGAGGACAGGAGGGTTAGGGGAGACATGATAACAACATACAAAATACTGCATGGAATAGATAAGGTAAAGTAAAGTAAAGTAAGTAAAGTAAAGTTTATTTCTTTGTAAAGGTTACAATGTGTAATTACAATTTTGATTTGCTAAGTACAAAGATAGCCACTATCATGCCGAGGCATTTCGGGCAAACTAATCTTAATATATAGTAACTAATTAAAGCTAGATAAGATAATAGTACATAGTAGTAACTTAGTAGTAACAGAGACAGGATGTTCCAGAGAGGGGACACAGAAACAAGGGGTCACAATTGGAAGTTTAAGACTCAGATGAGTCAAAGGGATGTTAGGAAGTATTTCTTCAGTCATAGAGTTGTCAGGAAGTGGAATAGTCTAGCAAGTGATGTAGTGGAGGCAGGAACCATACATAGCTTTAAGACAAGGTATGATAAAGCTCATGGAGCAGGGAGAGAGAGGACCTAGTAGCGATCAGTGAAGAGGTGAGGCCAGGAGCCGAGTCTTGACCCCTACAACCACAATTAGGTGAGTACTCTTTACACTCATTTTCAAAAATTCATAAAAATACTATGAAAGTTGCAGCTAAATCATAAGAGCAAAAAAGTCATAGAAAGGGCCAATCTACAGCATACTAGAAGTACATCCAACTCCCTTTAATATTTCAGTGACTGACACACCAGCAAACACTTAAGACTTTAGAAAACATTTCAGTCCTAAGACCATGTTCACTCACATTACACAGTGGGTATACAAAACATTGATTGACTAGGGTACAAGAAACATCGACTGACTAGGGTACAAGAAACATCAGCTGGTTAGTAGCAAAATTTGCTGCTTTGTGTGTTTGCTATTGAACCTCTGCCTCATGTTACTTGTATCTCTTTTGCTACTTATTTCCCATTTCTGCTTTCTCTGCTATTGTTGCTTTTTCTTCTTATAGACTATTTCTTTCCTGTTAGTAATATTTTTTTTTTTTTTGAACCTTTTTCTCATTCTCTTTTGTCTCCTCTTCCTACTGTGTAGACAAAATAATTAAACCAGTGTTCATTTATTACAGTTATACCAATGAAAGGAAATTTGCCTCTGGCAAGACAGTGATAGTGTGAATGATAATAAAAGTGTTTCTTTTTTGGGTTTCCCTACCTCAATTGGAGACAGCCAGTGTGTTAAAAAAAAAAAAAGGTGTGTGCACGTGTGTGCATGCATGCATACACATGCACACATGGGGTCAAGTCACAGCTCCTAGCCATACCTCTTTGCTCATTGCTACTAGGTCCACTCTCTCCAGGCTCCAAGAGGCTTGTCATACCTCTTAAAGCTATGTATGGACGTTGCCTGTGTGTAAGAAAAGGTAAGATTTGTTTGGATTTTTAACCCAGAGGGTTATCCACCCAGGATAACCCAAGAAAATCATCATTGAGGAGTGTCTTATTTCCAATGAGGTCCTTCAATCTTGTCCCCTAGGATGCAACCCACACCGCTTAACTAACACCCAGGTACCTACTTGATACATATATAATAATAATTGTAATAATAATAATCTTTATTTTACAAGTACATGATACATCATATACAGACCTAGCTGATATCAGTGAGATATTATATAGAAAGCCCCTTGTTATGCAAAGCATTATAGGCAAATTGGAATATCCTAGAGGGATTAGTACCAAACTTGCACACGAAAATCACTCCCCACAAAAGCAAAAGACTTCGCAGGAGATGCAACAGTCCCCAATGAAAAGCGGGGACACCACAAGTACACTAAGAGACAACACAGTAAGCATACTCGTTAGCATACTCGTGGCTGGGAGGCAGTTGACTGTTCAACTGCCTCCCAGCATACATAAGGGGGATTACCAATAGACCCCTGGCTATCTTCAAGAAGGCACTAGACAGGCATATAAAGTAAGTACCTGATCAGCCAGCTGTGGTTTGTACGTTGGTTTACGTGCGGCCAGCAGTAACAGCCTGGTTGATCAGACCCTGATCCACCACGAGGCCTGATTTCAGGCCAGGCTGCAGGGTCATTGATCCCTGAAACCCTCTCCTGGTATACTCCAGGATACGACCCACACCAGTCAGCTAACATTTAGGTACCTATTTACTGCTAGGTGAACAAGGACAGCAACTGTCTTGAGGAAATATGCCTAATGTTTCCACCCGTACTGGAGACTGAACCATGGACCTCAGTGTGTGAGCTGAGTGCACTACCAACTGAACTATGGGACACTTGATGCTGGGTGAACAGGGGAAGCAGGTGTAAGGAAACATACCCAACATTAAGAAGAATATAATCATGAGTTGAGCATATGAACGATGATGTCGTGTCTGAGGGTAATGTGCAGTTTAAATATTATGCGGAGAATTCGTAGTGTGGAAATTAGGAGGAGGTGTGGAGTTACTAAAAGTATTATTCAGAGGTCTGAAGCTCTATGACTAGTAAGTGTATCACTTTCTTTTGATTATTATAATAATCAGAAGGCTGAAGAGGGATTGTTGAGGTGGTTTGGCCATTTGGAGAGGATGGAGCAAAATAGGATGACTTGGAGGGTGTATAAATATGTAGTGGAGGGGTAGGGGTCATCCTAGGAAAGGCTGGAGGGAGGGGATAAAAGAGGTTTTGTGTTCAAGGGACTTGGACATGCAGCAGGCATATGTGAGCATGATAGATAAGAGTGAATGGAGATGAATGGTTTTTGGGACCTGACGAGCTGTTGGAGTGTTAGCAGGGTAATATTTTGTGAAGGGATTCAGGGAAACTGGTTAGCTGGACTTGAGTCCAGGAAGTGGGAAGTACAATGCCTGCACTTTAGAGGAGGGGTTTGGGATATTGGTTGTTTGGAGAGAGAGTATACCTACCTGGAGTATACCTGGAGAGGGTTTCGGGGTTCAACGCCCCCCCACAGCCCAGCCTGAGACCAGGCCTCATGGTGGATCAGGGTCTGATCAACCAGGCTGTTACTGCTGGCTGCACGTAAACCAACGTATAAACCACAGCCTGGCTGATCAGGTACTGACTTTAGATGCCTGTCCAGTGCCTTCTTGAAGACAGCCAGGGGTCTATTGGTAATCCCCCTCATGTATGCTGGGAGGCAGTTGAACAATCTTGGGCCCCTGACACTTATTGTGTTGTCTCTCAGTGTACTTGTGGCACCCCTGCTTGTCACTGGGGAAAAACTGCATCTCCTGCTGAGTCTTTTGCTTTTGTGGGGAG